AGAGAGAGAGAGAACAACTATTGAACGAGAAGAGTTTCGGAGCCAAGCTCCGGAAGGAGGGGGAGGGGGGGCATTATTAGTTGAGCCGCAAGCTTTCCCCATTTACCGCCTTCTCTCCATCTTCGAGACTGCAGCATTACTAGCGGCCTGATAATTATTTCCGCACGATTTTCCCAGCGATATGGCGTCGCGTCGAAATTTAGACAACAAACGAGTGCGCCAAATTGATCGGGACGTTAGTTACGGTTTCGCTCCGCGCCAGCAATTTGGGATGTCTTCGCACAACATGCTTACAACTGCGCGCGATAGCACGGATAATTACGAAGATATTTACGCAGCGATGGAGGAGTGATGCAAAATTTTTCGGCTTGACGTTTTTTCTGATGTTATTGATTTAAGCATTAGCGTCCCGCTGTGATAATAGAACAGCGTTTGTGTGCACTATCAGTGTCGCACCATCAGCGTGTTGGTTATTAAGTGACGGTCTCATTATTTTCCGACTATCGTCAGTTTTTTTCTGTCTCTATCCTGTTCCTTAATCACTATAATGTCGACGTGTAATCGCATCTGCAACATTAATTTTCAATACCTCACGCCTGTCATTCTTCTCGACCGCTAATTTATTTAAAACGTGCGATTAACTGACTCCATGCATTGTGCTTCGAATGGTGTTTCGAACGGGATGGCAATCTATGGAACATAGAGAAAAGCCTCATTACTCAGTGAACGTGCAATAACTGTGACCGCAGACGCAACGATAATAATGACGTCATCACGCGAGTTCATGCGATATGCATCGTCGGCAATTTTGCATTTCGCGGTTTTTTGAATTTTTCGACGTCGGCAATGCGTTCCTTTTTTTGCGCCTGTTATCTGTCACGTCTAGCTGATGTCCTGAATTTTTTAAGGCGGTGTCGCGTTGCAGCATCGAGCGACATAAAAAAGTATTCGCAACGTGCTGCAAAAATTAGTGACGCATGAAACTTGTTTTATGTGTTTAACGAAATTGGTTTTTTGACGGAAATGTTGATCACGTTATTTTCGAAATAGTGGTAAACAATTTAATATACATTTGAGTCCAGCGGTAAACATTGAAATAATTCATCGAAAAATCGAAAAATCGAAAAACATACAGGATTCACAGAATATCTTGACAAAGAACAGATGAAACAAGGACAATGTATTTTTTCAAATAGATTTTTATTTACGTGATTCTTTGTGCTGTTAAGATCTCAATTTTGCATAGAAATAACGAAAGGTTGATATATCGAATACTTTTTACAACAAATGGAAATGAAACTATTATATGATTTAAAAATAAAAATAAAAATATGATTTAAAAATAAAAACAGGTCTTTATTTTATTTCGTCTCCGTTGCGGACTAAATTGACATTTCCTTCGCTATTTTTGCAAAGAGTTGACGTTTTTTTTAGCTTTCTCTGAAATTAACGATACGCTGTTTCGTAACAGAAAAAATTTAATTTATTTATGAGATAAATTATGCTTTTTTTTTGGAAGAGCAATAAAAAATAATAAAACAGCTAGTCCTTTGTCCTGCTAGTGAAAATGAGCGGCTGCGTTTTTATCGTGCTTGCGAATGGTCACGAATAGCGGCGACTGTCGTTAACAATGCACTATCGTGTAACGCATTGTTCGCACCAAAGCCGTCTACTTGTTAACGTCTTAGGCGGTGAGGAGAAAGGGCTGAAAAGAAGGCTAGCCGTAAAGAAGGCTAGCCGTAAAGAATTCCGAATAATCAGCAAGAAGTTCCGCTAACGAGTACCAAGAGGACAAAGCGAGCTCGTTGCATATGTGTCTACGAAACGGTCGCTCATAATATAATTCTTATTTTATAAAGAAAGCTGAAAAATATATTATAAAAAAATTATAATATTTTTTCATAATATATTTTAGTAAGCAAAATGTTATCAATGTTGGCAGATCGACAGCAAATTTGATAAAATTTTATCTTTGCTGTCGATTTGCCAACATCGCTGATATTTCGCTATTTGGATAAATTTGCATATTACATTAACAAATAATATAAAATTCATATTGTAAATAATTAATAATGTGATAATTACATCATGTCACGTTATATCAAGTGATCAGTTTTTCTATTGTTTTATCGTGACCCCGTTTGAGTTTGTTTCCGTGTGATTCTTGCAAGAGATTTTTAATTTCATAAATAAGCCATTTCGCTTGAACACATTACTGACTAAAGCGCTATTATAAACGCCGTCACGTTTTACCGATAACGATCAAAGTGCTATTTTTAACGTTTTGATTGCCCATATATTATCATCAACATGAAATCAGCTGGATGATGAACATAATCGATACGCGATAAACAAACATAAATCAGGTTGACCTGATAATGCTTGAAATCCTATGGGATCAATTTTCACACGAGCGCAAGAAGTGTGCACTTCTATTTAGTGCCTCACATTAACGGCACCGTAAACTGAAATAATAACACGCGATAGCATGCACGGCATGCCAAGTATAATAAATCGGGTGTGTGTGGGGGAGGGGGGGGGGGGAGGGCGGTGCGGTGTGGCGTCAAAAATAACGATGAGTTAATCGGAAACGGAGAACGCTCGGGCGCGGTGATATCCGGTGAAAAACGACGGCGTCGGAACGTCATGCTGTACAACATCATTTATTCTTCATTCGTGGCAGAAACAGCGGTAAGGGACAGGAGTAAAACCACTAAAGAGTCGGGATGAGTAGCGCGCGGGAGAGAGACGGAAAGGAAGGATGACGGTGGGAAAAGGAGAGGATCGGAGATAAAAAGTACGGTAAATAGACGCCAGATACACCCTCGTAAAAACAACTGGCACGGAAGCTCGTCGTTTCCCCGGTCTTCGCCACCTTCATTCCTTTTTCCATCGTCGCGTCCTGTCGCTCTCGCGAGCGGAATCGACGGCGCGCCGACGGCGTAGCGAAGAGAATATCCATCGATCGAAAGGTCGTTTTTTTAATATATTCTAATCATTATTGGGGCGTCGCGAAAAAAGTGTTGCGGTTTTTCTTCTTTTACCAGTTGGTCGCTGTTGGGTATATTAGAGGGGAACTAAGATAATTACATGCCTCTCTTAGAGCGTCGTCTACCATTTCTTGCGCCGGTAGCGGCAAGCACTTGCAGCGCCCATAAGCGAATGCATTTGAGAAAATTACAATTTTTTGCGCTTTTAGGTGTAGCTTCGCTCTTTGTTTCGAGGGATGGTTACGTCTCGGAGATCCTGGGACTTCGAGGATTAGCTGCGGATCGTTAACACATTGTGAATAGACATAGAGGGACTTTTTTTAAAGGATTTGATTTTTTAAACATGTCTTTTTTAAAACTCACTCTCGTACAGTACATAACATTTATTTACGAATAAACGCACTTATATTTTTTTTATTTGAAGATAATATTTTAGCAGCACGGGAGAAAAAATGGAATGTTATAAATTCAGCCGCGAATAAATTATGCAAGCGATAGAGACTTTTATCATCCCTTACTATCATCGTACTCACTATCGCTTCTTTACGCAATATTAAATTAGTAATAGCGGGAACGCTTTTAATCAGAGACGATAACGAGAACTTCATCTCCCCACTTCCGTTATTTTAACCACTCCGTTCATCTCCTTTCGACTCTAACTTGCGAAACAGGGCGGTAGTTCGAAGTTTAGCAGCCCGTTGTCTCAACGACCTCTTATGAATTAAGAATTGGCTTAAATTATGAACACCCTCGTCGTATCTCGAAACGCGTAATTTGCATTTCAAAGACGAAGCGTCTCGCCTTGAACTTCGAACAATTTGTTCGTCCTCTCTTTGACGAGAGCTGCGCATTCGAAGCGATTCGTGTGTTGAGCAAAGAAAAACGTCCAAAATTATTAATACAATCAAATTTTTACGTCTTTTCTTCATTTTTCTGCTTTGCATTTTCCTCCTTGCACTATTTTTTCATTTTTACTTATTACAGCGAATAAAAGACAAAAATTTGCAAGCGATGGGAATTTTATTTAATATTAATACACGATTGGGTAAACTTGGTCAAAGTAGAGTTTCAGATGTATAATTTATTGTACAACAAAAAAGCCATTGACACAATTGCGTATACTAATAATTTATAATCCCTGACGTAATTTTATTGAACAATTTTTTTCTCTCCAGGTATTACAAAACTGGAGAGCCTTTTAAACGACGCTTCGCACAAAGAGCCTTTCCTGCATGGTGAGTAAAAAATATGCTATATTTTTTTTCATTACATTTTGTTATTTTTATCTGCAACATTACCTAAATATTGTGTACTGTATAAAGAGTGCGTTTAATTTTGCATTTGCTTCATATATGCCGCGGCATGGAAAATTCGCTATTTCAATTTACGATTTTCAATGCTAATATTCCCTCAACAATGCAGAGAATTACGATAACGATTATGTCGCATTTTTATCGCGGTTGGCAGTAATTTGCACCGATTTGTCAAGACTTCCAGTCCGCTGCAGAGTTACGACTCTTTTCCGGGTAATTTACGAGACACAAAGTTTACGCATTACACAATAATAAGCCGCCCACTACATCGCCAGTCGCGCGATAATTGCCGCGGGCATATCTGCAACTAATCCGCTTTGGGAAGAAAAATTCGCCCGCGCGCCCGCTCGCTGGCGCGTGATTAAACGCCGGCCCGCAATCATACGCGTCTCGGCAGCATTTTTCTTCCTAAATCCCGACTTACTGGTTGGCGCTATAAATTCGCTGCGGCCCAACAAACATCACCGCGACCGTGCGATGCATACGGCGTTTTTCCTTCCCCCCCCCTTTCCCTCCGTATTCGCAAACGCATCGTTCCCACGCCGCGATCGTATTCAATTTCAGCCTCTCCTCCACGCTCGCGGACCGTTTGGTCGACAATCCTTCCGTTTTATCCATTTCGTAAAGCACGGCCGTGTAGCCGACATTAGGTTGATTACGTAAAACGACGGTGTAGCCGACATTAGGTCGATTACGCCGGTCGCGTGCGAACGCAAGGCGGAAAGGCTGAAGTGCGCGCTTAAAGCGCGCATACCGGCAAACGGGGGAGTATGTAAAATCCATGGAGGACCTGGAGAGAGCATTAGGTAATGGAGACAATGCTTGGTAGTGTAACGGATGTGACGAAATACAGGCCACTTTTCGCACAGATTTAACGCATGGTGCGCTATCGTCGGGCAGAAAAACTAATATGGCTGCCTCCATGTATTGACACTTGACACATGAGTGAACCCAAATTGACTTTAGGTCTGTTTTTTTTAACTGAACTGGCTACACTAGTTCAGAGTTTATCTTTTTCCCTCTACATTGAAAGGAGAAAGATAAACTCTGAACTAGTGCAGCCAGTTCAGCTAAAAAGAACAGACCTTTTATATTGTAATTATTTTAAAAAATGGGTAGTTGCAAAATTTGTGGTCGATCAAAATCGAAATCCAAAAATATATCTATAACTTTTCACATGTAAGTAAATAAAATTAACAATGCTTTGGAAACGCTGCTTTCAGATGCCTTTTTTATGCTTATGTAGAGCGTTATGTTCTAAACAAATGATTTGACGTTTAAAAATGATAAAACTTTGTAACAAAATATTCCTTCAGGTTTCCAAAGATCCGGAAAGACGGAAGAAATGGATACAATTTGTTGATCACCCAGATTGGGAACCAACAAATTACGCCTATGACCATTTCAAAATTTCCCGCCCAGAATTTTGCTTTCGGTATATAGGCCATCGCGGTTAACGCTCGATCGTCTAATGCTCTCTCCAGGTCCTTCATGGTAAAATCGCTGTTTAGCCGCCATCGTACTGATATCGTGTCGGTGCTGATTGGCGACCTGATTGGCGTCTTAAAACCATTAGCCTACTTCGTAGGATGGAAATTCCATCCCACCGTTCCGCCGGGCGCGATTGCTTTAGCCGCCGCGCGGCGCCGCGCCGTGCCATCCGTAGCCGGAAGGACGGGTCGGGAGCGTTTTCCGCCGGAATGCTGGATTTCATTCCGCTACCTCAAATCCTGCCGGTCTTATTGGCAATGGGCGACAGTTGGTACACGTCCGCAAAGGCACGTGATCGTTATCCTTTTCTTCTTCTTATCTTCGACCCGGGAGTCTTCCCTTTCCGCTTGGCGCATTCCACCTTGCACTCGTCCTTTTCGTTCGCTTTTTTTCTCCTCGACAACCGGAAGTTACTGTCAATCCCGTCGACGGTGCTTTCCTCATGACATGCGTTCTTCGTGCTTTTGCTCGTTCGCTTGTTTGTCCTTTCTCTTCTTTTTTCATTCCTTTTCTTGATCACTTAGTAGTGCGATTGGTCGTAGTCGCTTGTGACATTTCCACCTGGACGATTAAAAATTTACGGTATTTTACACTTTTTAAGAATTTTTTTAGTTTTTTTATTTTTAAGTATATAATTTCACGACGCATTAATATTTTAAAGTAATATTTTTATCTTTAGTTTGTGATAATTATATTATATTATGCTTTAATATAACAATTTCCAGTTGAATTGTTAAAGTTTAATGCATAAAGTAGAGATAAAATTTTTGTAATTTTGCATAATTAATTGTGCAATTAATTTAATTTGATCATTAGCATGTATTTTAGTACATACTTTAAAATTAAATTTATGCACACAACTCTCCCTATATAAAATTATATAAAATATATTTATTGTTTTATTATTAACATAAAACATTTCTTTTACAAGCGGACTTTGCAGTTTTTACTTTTCTTTGTCTTTTGTATTTATCTACGGAAAAGTCGTATAAATTGATCGGGGATAAAAAGCGACCGACTCAACAAGTATCTACGCCAATATGCAAAAGTGTGTCAAGTGGCTATCATTAAAGTTATTGCCTTCTTTTAACCGCGAAATCAGTCTTGTGACGACAATCAGTCTTGTGACGATTTCTTTTTGGTCGAGCATGCTTTACAAGAGGTCCAGATAGAAAGATAGTCACTTGGAAACTCCAAAATTCAGCGCTGATGTAAAATGAGAACATGACAGACAGCAAAAGGTTACCGTCTGGCAATCTTTATATCGCTCTTATAGAAAACCGATATCAATGGACTCGTGAGAGTTCTTTTTATCGATTCTTGCCGATATCGGACGCATAATAATTTTTTAATCCTGGTGTAGCTTACAAGGAAACGTCGCGAACCCGGAAATTTAGATCACAACTTTGCACACATGTAAATGGGAAAGATACACGAATATGAAAAATTTTCAGTTGATTTTAAAGTGTAAAATTACTTCTCAATAATTCAAAAGCTTTTGATTTTTTTATATATATCATAAACTATTTAAGATATCAAAAAATGTATTACATAAAAGTTTTATAGTTAAAACACCTCTATTTATGGCGACCCATAACATTTTGAAAAATTAATTATACATATCTTTAACTTTGCTTTTTGCATCCTTTATATGGAAAAAATCTTTTGCATTATAACAGAAAAGTATTATTAGTCTACTACTTAATACTTACAAAATTTTTATATTTTATAATATTCACAATCATGACAATCCTCAAAAAATGTAAATGTGCATTTCAAAAGTATACATCAAAATATAGTAATAAATAGAAAAAGTCACTGGATATGGTTGCATTTCAATATAATTGATTATTTACACACGCATTGCAATATTTGTGAATACAGTTATACGAACGCAGTTACGGCAACATTCATCAGACATGTATCTCAAAATCTAAAATACTTGTAGAAGCAGATACGTATTTGTACCAGCTTTATATGAGAACATATTACACAGTATGATAATTATTGCGTGTAGTGTAAAGAGTGTAGTTGAATCTTAAAGTTTATTGTTAGTTCTTCGAATCATTTAACAAGCACGTGTTCGAAAGACAGCTACATACATGCGCAATAGAATAACACATCGCAAGTACACAAAGAGAAACTACTGTGTCTGGGCGCATCAACAAGCATAGAACGATATAGAGAAAGCAACGGTAAGCTTT